ATAGTTTGACCTTGTTTCCTCAGAAGGCTTCTCAGACTACATGGAGGATCCCTCAGAGAAACACAGTTTCCACGTTCAGTTCCCCCCCGCTGAGAGTAGGCAGCTCCACACCCTGTGCCCGGTCAGCGGACACCATCAGGACTACTATCTGATCACAGAGGATCCCATCCTGACCGCTGCTGCCATACTGCAGCAAACAGGAGGGAACGGAGGTGAAAACACACTTTATACATTTAGATATGTGGAGCACAAAGAAAAGCATTGCTAAAAAACATTTAGCAGCTAAACTGTGGATAACAAGTAAACCACATTGGTTTGTTATTCAATATTCAAAAGCTTTTTGAATCATTACATGTCACTTGTTAGACGCTTTTATCCAAAGCTTACATACTCAATACTGTGGGCAATCCCCACAGGAGCACTTTGGGGCGAAGTGTCTCAGGGACACAACGACATGCTGACTGCAGTGGGGTTTGAACCTGTGCTCCCCTGATCCGAACACCAATGCACTTATCCACCGCGCCACATGCCTCCCTATCATGTCCTGAGAGCCCTCCATCCCCCAATTGCTAGTGCCTTCACCATTTAAAATGTTAATAGTCAAATCAAAGGTGTTCCCCGTGTTCCTCCTGTTGTGTGCCTGCAGAGACAGACTCAGAGGTGGAGATCGCCCACAGTGATGACTCTGACGTGGGGGGGCTCCCTGTTATGGGCTGCTCCCCTTCCGGTATTTGGACAATGTTGTCTCGTTGTTGCGATTAAACTGATCTTGCATATTTCACCTTAGGAAAGTGGGCACGCGATGACAGCTTCCTTGACACCATCATGGCGATGGACCGCCGTGCCATGGTCAGCAAGGAGAATGAGGACCTGTGCCAAGGAGATGCACGATGAACGGCTGCTGCATTCACACAAGGCCCAGGAATCGAGGTGGAGCAACAAAATACCTTTCAGGCTGGGCTTCTGGAAGTGCTAAGCGAGCTTATTAAATCCAACAGGCCTTCAATACAAACATTAAGAAAAACTTGTCATTGATAAACTGTACAATGACTTGTTGGGAGGCGTGTGGTGCAGTGGTCTGGTGCGTTGGTGTTCGGATCAGGGGAGCACAGGTTCAAACCCCACTGCAGTCAGGATGTCGTTGTGTCCCTGGGCAAGACACTTCACCCCAAATTGCCTACACCTGGGACAGTTAATTTTGTATTATTGTGATTATATATATATTAGGGCTGTCAAGTTAACGCGTTAATAACGCGTTAACGCAAAAAAAAATTAACGCCACTAATTATTTTAACGCGATTAACGCATGTGTATTTTTTGTCCTCGGCCGCCGTAGTTTCAGAGCGCATGGAGTTTAAAATACCATCGACAAGCTGATGCTGACAGCCCCGCTCCTACCGCCCGCTTGTGGCAGACCACACTTCCACGCTCACTGGCAGGCCCGGACTGGCCATCGGGAGGACCGGGAGGGAGTGTGTATGTGTGGTGCGACTCGCGCGAGCGAGGCACACCTTACGTGTTGTTGTTGTTAGCATCTGGTGCTAGCTAGCTGCGCTAACGGATATAAGGAGCTGTTTCAATGACATTTCGCCGACAACTGCGCCGAGCACTTGACTTTATGCAGGTAGCCAGACAGTGGGACATTGTACGAAAAGTCAGCACACTCAGCACGGATAGTGCGCGCAACATGATTGCAGCATCCAGGCAGCTCCCGTTGGAGCATATATGCCTTGAGCTGCACATAGCTCCTCCAACGATCCATCACAGTGTCTCCACACACACACACACACACACACACACACACACACACACACACACACACACACACACACACACACACACACACACACACACACACACACACACACACACACACACACAATTATTGTATGAGAGAGGTTCCAGGTTGAATTGAAGCGAATATTTGTAATGTTCAGAGGTTGTTGTGTTTAATATTCATGAGAATATTTGTCATTGTTCAAATGATAATAAACAAACATATAAAGCATATTTGTCCACTCATATGTTGATAAGAGTATTAAAAACTTGAAAGATATCCCTCTAAGGTACATTTAGAACAGATAAAAAATGTGCGATTAATTTGCGATTAATCGCGATTAACTATGGACAATCATGCGATTAATCGCGATTAAATATTTTAATCGACTGACAGCCCTAATATATATATATGCCACTGTTATTAATACTGACACCTAACTTTGCACTAAGGTGTGTCTGCTGCTGAGCCTACCTATTGTTATTATATATATATATATTGCCACTGTTATTATATTGTGTTGATACTACTGACACTTATTGATCTGCTGCTGATAAATAAAAGAGAACCTACATGCACGGCACTAGCATCATGACTGTCTTTGTTTAAACCAGCAGCAGTGCACAGACTAACCTGTGTGTGTGTAACGTAGTTCTTCAGGTGTGTATGCTTAACATGTATGTATTTATCACAGTAAAGATGGTATACAACAGTTTTTAACCTCATCCCATTGTCTTTAACACACATTTAACATAATAATATACTCATTAATATACAAATATACAGTATGAGTACTGTTTTGATACTGACATTTAATCTTTGCACTAAGGTGTGTCTGCACTATTGTAATTGTGTCTGTTGACTGGTAAATAAAAGAGAGAACCAAATGCACTACAAAAGATCAGCTTTATTGTCAATTTACAATTTCCATGCTGTTCAGATGCCTCTCCCCAACGTTGCTTCCAGGCGAATACAGAGGAGTTGAAAAGAGCCCTTGGACATTCGGAAATCTTTGATCCACTGCACGTTGGCACCACCTCCCACCAAGCCGATGTTCTATTGTTCACCCAGAGAGAGCGCGGGACACGACGCGTTCCGTAGTATTCGCATATCTGGAAACACATACAAAGACACAAATTAGCCCTACATAACTCCATAAATCCAACATTAGATAGTATTAATGTAATTTAATGAACGTACCATTGCTGTTCTTTGGGCGTGATAACGATCATCATGCTCAGCTCTCCTACGGCGAAACATGACCATAGCGTGTGCTTTTCGTGGTCCAATCCTTTTATTAAGGCTTCTTAACCGCCTTCGCCTCCGACTCAGCATTTCTATTGCATTTGAATGGTCTATTTGTATTTGTGGTTATTGGCTTAAATAACTCAGTTACGAAGCTGTATAACACGACCACCAAAACGTCAACTCAATACCGTGCCTGAGGTCGGAAGGTAAACAGAAGCATACAGCGGAAGCGGAAGTTTTTTTTCTTCTTCTTCTCTCGGTTTTTTGCCGAATTGCAACTTTAAGGTGCATACCGCCACCTACTGTACTCGCCGTGAAGTTGTTTGCGGCCTGCCAGTAAACCCAAAGCAGAAGAAGAAGAAGTGACGCCAGCGGCTCATTTGCCTAATCCACCCCCAGGAACTCATTTTGGTGTGAACGCAATCTGCTTTAGTTCATCAGAACTAAAAGAGCTCTCATGAACTAAAGTTCTCATGAACTACTGTGGGAAAAGTACTTGGTGTGAACGCCCCTTTTGACTCTATTTTGGCCTAGTAGAACAATAAGCAGCAGACTTTTACTTTTTTATCATTTCTACTGGATCTTAGATCTGCGCATGCGCAATACGGGTCGGCAGTTGCGGCTCCAGAGTATTTTTGTTGGGTAATCTATGGTAGGGCTAACCCATACAGTGGTGGGGCTCAAGTCAGTATTTGCAATGTAATTACATACACGCTCCCCCCGACAGTGAAACGTCACGCGTGAGGTTTAGATTATTTCCCTGTCTCAATCCAAATTGAACTGTATGAAATAAAAAGGCACATTTGTCTTGTAGTAAATAAAAAGGGCGACCTGGAGCCAATCCTGCAATTTCCCCACAGGTGAAAGAGTTGACATGCTGAAAACCCAACCCCTGCAGGGGGGGATCTGGGGGGATTCTCCCCCAGGAGAGTTTTTTAAATACTAACATAAAATACACATTCTGGTACTCTCTAGAGAAGAAAAATAAATACATCTATTACCACACGACATATTTAAAAAAATGAATGCCATTTTAGTTTTTTGTTACTTTGTTCTGAAAGTGTTGATTTCTATCAACACGTAATGTTGTATCGATGTATAGAGATGTACTACAGCAAAAGTATTCTCCGTCGGGACTTCCTGCAACAACACCACGCCGTTATCGTGATTCTGATTGGCCAGAAGACATTATCAAAGATGTTCTATTGAGAAGACGATTACTACGTGACAAAAGTTTTCAAAACCGTTTCTAGTCTTCGGTATTCTTGTTTTTGGCGTGAGAATAGTTTGGGCAGCGTGAGAGCGTGAGATTGAGAGTGAAAGCGTGTGTCACACGCCAGATGCGTGAGTTGGCAACCCTGGCAATATATGCCGTTAAAAACTGTGCAATATATACCTGGCTGCTAAATCCGCAGAACTGTTACAGGGTGTGTATTATGTAAAATGTGTAACTTTAAAAAAATATATAATTTCTTTTTTTAATCTTTACTTTTTTTATGCATGCTTTAGGTAACATTAAGCTGTCATTAGCCGCGTTCACACCAAGTACTTTCCTGTACTTAGTTCCGGCACTAAGAGCCCCGGCGCTTTTAACCCCAGGGCACTTAGTACAGATCGCGTTCACACCGGAGTACTTTTCCCTGAGGGAAGATTACGCAAATGAGCCGCTGACGTCACTTCTTCTTCTTCTGCGTTGGCTTTACTGGCAGGCCACAAACCACTTCACGGCGAGTACAGTAGGTGGCGGTAAGCACCTTAAAGTTGTTTGCAATCCGCTACAAAACAAGAGAAGAAGAAGAAGAAAAACTTCCCACGTATACTGTCTGTTGTTTACCTTCCGACCTCAGACATGATGGAGATGGAGTCGACTGAAGTTGTGCTGTTTGTGCTCATGTTATACAGCTTTGTAACTGAGTTAATGCGGCCTGAGCCTATTCGGATCCGGAGCCGCCACACGTCGAATGCTATGGCAAAGTTTCTTCAGCAACAAAGGCAGTTTAAAAGCCTTAGGAAAAGGATTGGCCGACGGAAAGCACACATGACTGCCATGTTTCACCGTAGGATGGCTGATGACGATGAGCGTTTTCACGCCCTAAGAACAGCAATGGTAAGTTCAGTAAATTATTAATACTATCTAATGTAGGATTTGTGGAGTTATGTAGAGCTAATTTGCGCCTTTGTATGTGTTCCAGATATGCAAATACTACGGGACGCGTCGTGTCCCGCGCTCTCTCTGGGTGAACAATAGAACCTCAGCCTGGTGGGAGAAGGTGGTGCCGACGTACACCGATGTGCAGTGGATCCAAGATTTCAGAATGTCCAAGCACTCTTTCCAATACCTCTGTAGTCGCCTGGAAGCAACGTTGGGGAGAAGCGACACCAACTTCCGGGAGTGTGTCCCTGTGGCTAAAAAAATCGCCATAGCACTGTGGAAACTTGCGACCAACTCTGAGTACAGGACCATCTCTCATTTGTTTGGAGTCGGCAGATCTACAGTGTGTTACTGTGTGCACGAGTTCTGCTCCTCTGTTGTGAGCATACTCCTTTGTGAGTTCATGCCATGGCCGAACGCTGAGAAGTTAGAGGAGATGGCGTTATTTTTTGAGCGCAGATGGGGTGTGCCACAGTGTGTAGGTGCAGTAGATGGATCACACATCCCCATTCTGAGACCAGAGGAATACCACAACGAGTATTTCAACCGCAAAGGCTGGCACTCGCTCGTCCTGCAGGGTGTTGTGGATGGTAGAGGCCTCTTTTGGCTTACCAGGTAGCATGCATGATAGCAGAGTGTTTGGCATGTCATCACTGTGTAGTTTTGCGGATAAGGGTGGTCTACTTCCTCATGTAACAAAGAATATTGGTGGACATGATGTGGGTTACTATATCCTTGGTGACTCAGCCTACACCCTCCAAAGATGGCTGATGAAACCTTTCCAAGGAAGGCTCACACCCGAGCAACTTGTGTACAATCACAAAACAAGCCGAGCACGAGTGGTGGTGGAGAACGCTTTTGGCAGATTGAAGGGCAGGTGGCGGTGCTTGATGAAAAGAAACGACTGCAAGATGGACAAGATAAAAATCCAGGTGGCAGCATTTTGCGTGTTACATAACCTTTGTGAAAGTAATGATGATGAGTACAGGGACGAATGGACTGCCTTACCGGCGACCCAGCTTGATGGGCCAGCGCCAGCCATTGCCGAGGCTGGGGGGCAAGACACACGCACAGCCCTTATGAGGCATCTGAACAGCGTGTAAATTGTACATTCTAAACAATAAATGTAAACATTATTGACAATAAAGCTGATCATTTCTACGGTGCTTTTGTTTCTCTCTTTCATTTTGCAGTCAAGACAGGCAACATTACAATAGTGTAATAGTAGCCAAAACAAACATACATGTTAGTGACTAAAGTGTCAGTTGTACATGTCACTAAACATTGTCAATATAAAATAAAGTGTCAGTTGTACTATATAATAACAGTAATAACAATATAAAATAAGGATCTGTTTAATCGCCATGTCGGTTTTCTTTATTGCACTCTCAAGACATAACATGAAATAGAACAATTTTTATGTCGTAACTCTTCTATTATACGGCTCTGCTGTCAACAAATCTTGAAAACGGAGACGAGGGGAATGTAGAAATCGGTAAATCACTTCAGAAATGTATTGATAATTGTTCTGCTTTTTAATGTAAACTTGAATTCATAGTAAACTAGCTGCTTTTGAGCACTTTACTTTTTACATGGGCCATTTTGAACGTGACGTGACTGTATTCAAACTAAGTCACCATCTACCCCTAGTTTCATTTGGTGCATCAGTCTTTATTTTGCCCTATGATGATACTAACCTAGCATTCACAACCCTAGTTTTTTTATGGTGTCATTTTGGAAATAAAAACATAAAAAATGGAAACTTTCATGTCATTTTTGGCCCATAGTGGACTCCATGTTGTGTTGTGTGAAATTTGGGGGAATTAAAAGTTTAGGTCTTTTAAAATGATATAAATTATCATATTTGTGTATGTGCCCCTGCCATTCCTCCACAAGGTTGCAACATTGATGATAAATAAATGACAAATAAAGCTTTGCCAGTTTATAACCGATGAAACATGATGGTATCAGAATACTCACTTACATGTGATGTATAGGATGCTACACAGGTCACTAAAGATAAAGTGTCAGAAATAAGCAAGATGATTTAATCGCCATGTTGGTTTTCTTTATTGCAGCATATGACATAACATGAAATGAGAACAATTTTTTAATGTAAATAAAGTGACAAAGTGTCAGTTGGACATGTCAGTATAAAATAAAGTGATAACAGTAATAATATAAAATAAAAACTCAGCAGCATACACACCTTGGTGCAAAGTTGTGTGTCGTGTGTCAGTATTTACAAAAACCAAATAAACTCAACTTAACTAAACTATGCCTAAACTAGGCATAGGCTCAGCAGCAGACATTAACAGGGGCCACTATTTGGAGGAAGACCTGTTGGCTTTCACTAGCTGGGAAAGCACTTCCAGAAACCCAGTGTTAAATGCCGCTTGTTGCTCATCCTGCCGCTCCTGGCGCAGCTCCTGGCGCAGCTCCTGGCGCAGCGCCAACACTTCATCCTGGTGCCGCTGGCGCTCCATCTGCTGCAGCGCCAGTTCTGACTGGCGCTCCATCGAGGTGATCATTCTGGCCTCCGCTTCCTGGGTCTGGCTGAACTGCACCATCTGATCTATGCGCAGCGACTCATTCGCCACGGCACGCTGGTCCTCCAACGCCTGGACGGTCTCGAGGAAAAGTGCATCCTGTGTCCGCTTTCCTAAGAGGGGAAAAAAAGCAAGATACAAGATCAACAACCAGAGACATACATCATGTATTTTTTAGCTGCCTGGATTATAACAGACAAAGACTCATTCTGATAACTGCACTGGAACAACTCAACATCAAGGACATGGATTTCAAGTCAATATATGAAAGTAAATCAAGAAATGAAGCAAACAAGCTGATCTTCAAATTCTTCAAAAGCATTGGTCTGAGGACAAGGATTTAATAAATCAACAGTAGGTGGCGATATATGCTCCAAGTGGAAGCGATTTCTTACCGGAAGTCATGTGACCTCTAGCCCGGATGTTTACAATGTTTGTAAGAGAGTAAAACGGCGCAAAATGTTCTCTTTCACGCTGTTTCATAATTGTACCAAGAAGGAAATAAACATGATTGTGAACATCTGTTCCATGCGTAACGTTCTTTCAAGACAAAGTTACAGTGTGTTTACCTTTGCGTTTGGTTGCCGGTAAGGGGGACGAGCAAGCGAGCAAGCTCTGATCTCCAACGCCAAGAACCTCACTTGTTTCCAATACCGAGTGTTGTTGCTGATTTTCCTCGCCTGAAACACATGATTAGTTCCATGAGTTAGTGAAGCAAATTACAGAAACACTGCACAGTTATTCACTAGTCAAAACGTTTTAATAGCTAGATGTTATTAGCCAGCTCAGGGCCAGTGTTAGCTAGTTTAGCCTCGCTTGATCTACTGAGCAAATAAAAGTACATCTGAGACCATTATTGTGCAGATTAAAACCCCAGTGCATGTAGTTGCTTTTACCTTCGTCGTTGTCGACCTCTAAATTCGCCGTTGGAGCGGCCTCCAATGCCATAGTGCCCGAATCAAGGCTCGATGCTGGACCCTTGAATGATGGTCTGGTCCCAAGCAAAGCATCCAAGCGGTCAAACCATTTCGTGGTCCTCCGGTCGTTACGACTTTTATTGTTCCAGTCTTTAGTTTTCTTGTAGTCCTGGCGGAGTTTCTTGATTTTCAGCCGGCATGCCATGGCGCTGTGCAAGATTCCCATCTCAAGCAACAACTTCGAACAACGATCGAAGATCTTGGAATTGGGTACTGGCTTCAACAGCATTCCCTGCGTCGTGTCGTCGGCGTAGATGTAGAGAAGCGCTGATACCTCCTCATCAGTCCATCGCTCGGATTTCTTCATGTTTGTCATTATTTCACTGCGTTAAAAAAACAAACTACTCTTCTTGGTGCGCTGAGGTTGTTGTAGCGAGGCAAAACAATGGCGGCTCTACACAACATTTCCACAGTTCTACGGGGCGTGGTTTGCAATTCGCCCAGCCAATCAGCACTGGGGCACTTTTGGAGCACTTTTCACCAAAAATCGTACTTAATCTCGGGAACTTTTACCCCCATTTTTAGAGCCCGCTGAGAGATCGTACTTTCCTGTGGGTGAAAAGTGCCCCAGTGCTGATTGGCTGGGCGAATTGCAAACCACGCCCGTACAACTGTGAAAATGTTGTGTGGAGCCGCCATTGTTTTTCCTCGCTACAAACGGAGAGTAGTTTGTTTTTGAAAGCAGTTATGGCAAGCATCAAGAAATGATGAGGAGGTGTCGGCGCTTCTGGAGATCTACGCCGAGGACGCGACCCAGGGAATGCTACTGAAGCCAGTTCAGTAGCTTTCACTCAACCTGGGAATCGTGCACAGCCCCATGGCACACCGGCTAAAAATAAAGAAACTCAGGCAGGACTACAAACGGCGGATTCAGTGGCCAACGATGACGACCACGACGAAGGTAAAATCAACTACATGCACTGGGGTTTTAATCTGCACAATAATGGTCTCAGATGTACTTTTATTTGCTCAGTAGATCAAGCTAGCCATGCTAGGCTGAATAGGCTAACACCGGCCCCAAGCTAGCTACATCTAGCTAGCTAGATATTCTCGGCCGCTATGAAAACGTTTTGACTTGTGAATAACTGTGCAGTGTTTCTGTAATTTGCTTCACTAACTCATGGCACTAATCGTCTATTTCAGGCGAGGATGGACAACTCTCGGGATTGGAAACAAGCGAGCTTTGCATTCACATGACTTCCGGTAAGAAAACTTGCCTCAACAACATTAAACAAAGTTCAAGCATACATGAAAAGGAACAATCCTCCGTGTTTGAACCTCTTAAATCGTTGCATAGCCGATTTATTTGGACTGGATTATCCCAGAGAGGCTAAACATTCTTTATAACACAGTTTCAGATTTGTGTAACCTTAATTCTATTTGTGAAAATACAAAAAAGAGAGATTTCAGTGCTTTTTCGCATCCTGGCCACATTAGACCAGGTCCTGATCTAAAACCACTATACCTAGACTCATCAAATCTGGACTGGATTATCCCAGAGAGTCAAAAGATTCTTTATAACACAGTTTCAGATTTGTGAAACCTTAATTCTATTTGTGAAAATACAAAAAAGGGAGATTTCAGTGCTTTTTTTACATGTAGACCACATTAGACCAGGTCCTGATCTAAAACCACTAAACCTAGACTCATCAAATCTGGACTGGATTATCCCAGAGGGTCTAAACATTCTTTATAACACAGTTTCAGATTTGTGAAACCTTAATTCTATTTGTGAAAATACAAAAAACACATTCCTAGTATGTTGTAAAACTACATGGCGACTAAACAGATCTTGTATCTTGCTTATTTTCCCCTCTTAGGAAAGCGGACACGGGATGCGAATTTCTTTGACACCGTCCAGGCGTTGGAGGACCGGCGTGCCGTGGTGAATGAGTCGCTGCGTGGAGATCAGATGGTGCTGTTCACCAAGGCCCAGGAAACGGAGGACAAGATGCTCACCAGTTCATTTTATATTATTGTTATTACTGTTATTATATAGTCTTGATACAACTGACACTTTATTTTATATTGATAATGTTAATTTACATGTACAACTTCTATTTTATTTACATTAAAAATGTGAACTTCTATTTACTGTTAAAAAGATTCTGTATCTTGCTTATTTCTCCTGACACTTTATCTTTAGTGACCGTAGCATCCTATACATCACATGTAAGTGATTATTCTGATACCATCATGTTTCATCGG